GATTTGGGCGGGGGGCCCGAGCTGGAAGGCCAAGGCTTGGGGGAGGGGGCACAGCCGTGTGTTCGCAGGAGGATCTTGGGTCGGGGGCCCCCACCCCCAACTTTCTCGTGTCCGGGGCTCTTCTGGAAGGGTAGAAGGGAAAGGAGTGGGGCTGAGGGCTGAGTGGTCAGCAGGGGGTATATGGGACTGGATTTTCCCACCTCGATGTTCCTAGTTATTTGCTCTCTCCTACCGGTCCTGGGGACCCCATTCTGTCCACCCGACACACCGAGGTCCCACTCTGAAACCACAGAGGCTGGGTCTGAGCACCCAGAGGCACCCCTACACCACGTAGGTACAGGGGCTGCGAGAGTGCCCAATCACAGAAAACACCTGGGCATACTCTAGTCCCTGTGCCCACTCAGAGCTTTCTGAACCCGGGAGTGTTGGAGAGGATGGGCTGGGACAAGGTTGCTGGTCTTTGCTTAGCTTTGTGTTCCCGCATAGCCACTGAGGCATTTGCCAGTAGCAGGAGTGCTTCTTTCAGCGCTCGGTTAAGTTCACGCTACACACCCCTGGGACTGCGGGGCTGTATTGGGTGTGAGGCTACCCCTCCTCACCCTGTGACAGGTCCTGAGAGGGTGAAGGGAGTAGGGAAGAGACAGGCTGGAGCAGCAGCCACCAAGCAGGCACCTTTTCAGACAGCACTCTACCATATCAGCCTCTTAGGGAAGGAAAGGGAAGGGAGTGACAATTATAAGCAGAAAGGTATGTATCATAGGATCAGAGAGCCTAGGAATTTGTCACACAGCAAAGGGCAGGAAGAAGCAGCTTCCGCTTGGATTTCAGCTATGTGGATAATTCACTAGCTTCTCTCTGCTTAGAAACATGCTAGGAAACCAGGAGGGGTGTGTGTGTGTGTGTGTGTGTATTTTCAGAGGGTAGTGTTCCAGAGGGTGGCCCCCTGTTGGTGTGACAGAAACTCAGGGGTCTTGGGCTCCCTGTTAAGGGCCCCTCCCCTCTTCTCTGCCTCCTACCTTCCTAGCGCCTGCCCCTGCACACATTCAGGTATTAATAGAGCCAATGGCTGCCAGGAAGGCTGCCATGTGTTTGATCTGACGTGGTTTTGCAACCATATGTTCTCCACTTCAGGAGAGCACTTCCTCCTTCCCTTCCTCAGCTTCCTTACATTTGCCGGGGTGGGGTGCAGGGGAATGTTAGCAGCAGTGCAGGGTCTGTGCTGACACCTTGGGTGGAGAGCTGGCTGCCTATTGCACTGACTGAGTGCAGTAGTGATTCCTAGGGAGTACCTGCCCCAGGTGCATAGGAACGCCCCACTGTTGCAGCCTGGCTTGCTTTCTTGTTAGTGGTTGAGCCTGAACTTAAGATTGCCCAGCAGGGAGGTATGAGGAAAAGGTCACTTCCTTATGGCTGGGAGGAACTTGTCAGCGGTAGAAACGGTGTCTGGAGAGCTTGTCAAGCTCTTTCCCCCAACTCAGCCCAGGCCCCCTTCCCTCCCGAATGGTCCTGCCTTTGCTTCCTTGGCCACTGGCTGAGAATGAGCCTTCTGACACAGAAGCTAAATTCTGGAAGAGGATGAGGGATATTTCCAGAGACAGGGTCTCTCTCAAGCAGAATGACACATTCTTGTTCCCACCTCCCAGGCCTGAAACTCATGGGAGCCCCAGTGAAGCTGACTGTGTCTCAGGGGCAGCCGGTGAAGCTCAACTGCAGCGTGGAGGGGATGGAGGAGCCTGAGATACAGTGGGTGAAGGATGGGGCTGTGGTCCAGAGCGTGGATCAGGTGTACATCCCAGTCAGTGAGCAGCACTGGATTGGCTTCCTCAGGTGCAGGACTCTGGGGGAAGGTGTGGGATGCCAGCCGAGCTTGTGCTCTTTCCTTGGGGTTTGGGAGCTGGGGGCAATGTTGATGCCCAGAGGTCTGTGGTATATTTATTTGGCAACCTGTGGAAACTTTCAGAAGTCGGGGCAGGCTGAACCCCTTGAATCTGCCCAGCAGAGCTTCCCCCCTTGACCCTGGGAGGCCTTGTGTCCTGTTTCCACAGCCTGAAGTCAGTGGAGCGCTCTGATGCGGGCCGATACTGGTGCCAGGTGGAGGATGGGGGCGAAACTGAGACTTCCCAGCCAGTGTGGCTCACAGTAGAAGGTGAGGAGGCAGAGCTGGTGGGCATGTTGGCCTGGAGCAGGTGCTGTCTGCTAGTGACCACACCTCTGCATAAGGAAGCTTGGGGAAGCTGGGCTGCTCCACTGCCCTCTGGGGACTCATTGTACCAGGCTCCAGGCCCATCGCAGACCAGAAGACTATACCCACTGGGTTTTTGAGAGCCAAGGAGGCACTCAGGACCCATAATTTATGGGGTGTAGGCAAATTTCAGTTGTCTGAGCAACAAACCTCAAGCACCCGTCTGAGGCTGGACCCTGTTCTGCCAAGTGGCGGGGCCAAGAGGGGAAGGGATGGGGGAGGGGAGGAAGGCTTCGCAGCTGCAGGAGCTCAGAGCTGTTCAGCCCAGGAAAACAAAGTGACTAAGAAAGTAACAAAGGGCCCTGAACGGGATCTGGGGCCTGCCAGCCCTCCGCTAAAGCTCCCACCCACTCCCCCTCCTTTGTTGCCCCTCCCTCATCTTCCCACCCGCTGCCTCTTCCTTTACTCTGAGATGAGCTGTTAGAGCAGGTTTCGGAAGAGAGGATCTGTCATGCAGGTCTAGGAATAAAGGGACCAGCATAAAGGATATCCTTAAGGGGATACCAAAGAAGAGAAGCTTGCCCCCTCCCAAGCTAGATGCCTGGTCTACAGTTGACCCAATCATAAGGGCCTATGCATGGGACCTTCTGCATAGAGGGTTCAAATGGTAAACAAACTTGTGGTTTGGGTGGTTGGAAGCTGAGAAGTTGCAAGGCTTGCTCCCCACCAGCCTTTTTCTCCCTAGGTGTGCCATTTTTCACTGTGGAACCAAAAGATCTGGCAGTGCCACCCAATGCCCCCTTCCAACTGTCTTGTGAGGCCGTGGGTCCCCCAGAACCTGTTACCATTGTCTGGTGGAGAGGAGGCACGAAGGTTGGGGAACCTGCTCCCTCTCCTTCCGTTTTAAATGTAACAGGTGAGCAGCCTCTGGAGGGGCTCTGCGCAGGGGTGGTGAGGCTGGCAGAATTCAAACCTGCTTATGTCTGTCTCTGAGTTTGCTGTTGTGAATGTCCAGAGTGCCTGGGTCCGTGAGCTACACCATTACTAAGCTTATCAGTCAGGTGTGCTAGGCTGGACGGGTGGGCTGATTAGTGGTGATTTGCTGTGTGTGCCTAAGGAGGGTGCCGGAGCTGCTTTCTGTGGTTCACAGCAGTCTAGGCCGAGCACAGCTGGCCCTGGGTGATGAATTGCATGGGACCAGGGGCACCCATCCCCCAACCCCTCCCAAGGGAAGGAGCCAGGAACCAGCCCACGCAGAGCTAGGAGGAGTGTCTGGCAAGCTTGCCTAGAAGACAGGAGTCTCAGGCTGCAGAGTGGGGAATGACAGGGGGAAGGAAAAGGGGTCGGGGAGGCCAGCACAGAGTTACAGGGGCCTCCTCGCCTAATGGCACTTTTCCAGAAATCTGCAGACCTTTTCCCAAACAACTGTATCTGTCCATACCTCCACACAGTTAGACCAAAAGCAGCCATGCCTGCACATTCACCTGGAATCCAAGACCCTCAGCACAGACCTCACATGCTTGTGAGGCTTGCTTATCAGTGAAACAAAATTAATGTTTCTAGTTGAGGCTTGCAACTGGCTAAAAATGATGGGAGGCTGAGCTTGTTCTCCTGCACTTGAAGGTGGGAGGGACGGACTCTGATCTACCAAGTTCCCTAGCAATACGAATCTTGAGAGTGTGGACTGCGGAATCTGTTGGAAGCGAGGGCAGTTTCTCTTCAGGAGGTGCTGGGTTGGAGCAGATTAGAAGGGAGGTTGGGTTCAGTTCTCTCCAGATGTGCGTGGTTGGGACCCTCAGGCAGCCAGCTTGATAATAAGCACTCACTGAACTCCTACTCCACACACCACACTGTGCTAGGCACCACGGGGGATCGAGGGAATACAAAAGAAATAGAAGCCATTGGTCCAGCCCCCAAGGAATTAGTATAAGTGGGGAGACAAGACACATGCATAAGGAACTGAGACCTATTGAAAGGCAAGGAATCTGCAATTAGAACAATGATATGGCACGGAGCAGACCGAGCAGGGCTCTGGGGTGTGCAAGAAAGGAGTGACCAGAAAAGGGAGGCAGCTTTGCACTGTCTTCGGGAGATGGGATGGAGGTGGGAGGGGTGGTATAACATTTCTCAAGTGCTTTACTGAAAGCTGTGCACTTTATGTATGTTACATCAGTTGGTTCTCACAATTTTCCCATTTGAAGGATGAGAAAACAGACCCTCGGCCCTGGGATTTATAGCCAGTCCCATGCTGCCTAGCCCCTCCCTTTAGCTGGAGGGACTTGTAGAATATTCAGACCCAGCACTTAACTATCTGCCCCCCAACCCCAGACTAAGTGGGAGTTGCTGCTTGGGGGTGCTGACTGAGGTTTTCTGGCTCCAGGGGTGACCCAGAGCACCGTGTTCTCCTGTGAAGCTCACAACTTAAAAGGCCTGGCCTCTTCTCGTCCAGCCACTGTTCGTCTTCAAGGTAGGAGGACCCCAGGGAGTGAGGGTCGGTGAGGCAGGCTTTGTGCTCCTCAGGCTTTGGGTGAAGCTAAAATCGTTTGGTATTCCAGCTTGTCTCGGTCCTGCTGGGATATGAGGGAATGAGGGGTTAATTGGCATAGCTCCATTCCTAGTGGTAGCACCTGAGACCCTGCCGTGGCTGAGAATAGAAAACTGACGTCACAGCAGATTTCCCATCATGAAGCAGAGTCCTTGGGAGGGAGGGAGCCAGCGGGAAGTGGTCAAGGCTCATGCCCAACCTTGCTTCTGCCAGTCCCTGTGGAGGAAAAGGGGGTGGGGAAAACAGCCTAGCAGGATGATAGAGGAGACCCAAAGGGCTGCTGTGCACAGCGGGAGGGATGGAGAAGGGGAGAGAACCAGTGTGTGCTGGAATGGGCTGTGGCTTCAGGGACAGCTGCCTCTCACTGGTATCTCCCAAGGCCAAGGTACCCTCCTCCCACACACCCACTATCTTACCCTATTCCTTGCTCAGACCAGGCCCCTGATTCAGGGAGAGGCAACCTCTCCACAGCCTTGGCACTCTCCCAGGTATGAGGACCTGTGCCCTGCTGGTTGCTTGGCTTGTGTATTCCTGGAAGTGCTGAGTAGCCATCTTTAAGTTGCACAGGGGTAGGGGGCAGACCCTAGGGAGGGACTCAAGCCTCACCTGCTCCCCCCACCCCTGCCTTCTCCCTCCTCTCCTATCCTTCCTGGGCCCTGACACTAAGCCCCCATCCACAGCACTGCCTGCAGCCCCCTTCAACATCACAGTGACGAAGCTCTCCAGCAGCAACGCTAGTGTGACCTGGACACCAGGTGCCGATGGCCTAGCTCTGCTCCAATCCTGTACAGTCCAGGTAGGCTGAGAGGGCCGGACGGGCTC